GGGTGCATGCTGAGGCACACACCAACAGCTCCAGTTGTGCATGCTCCCTGCACATGTGGCCCCCACTTGCACAGTACTGACCGTGCGGCTTGCACCCAACTAACCAGATGTGTGTGCAGGGATGGGCACCGGGCTGAGCTGTAGGAAGGGGTGGGAAAGGAGGAGATGGCAGGGCATGGCTGTTGTGTCTGCTGGACCTCCTTGCCTGGCTTTGCCCATCTGTTTCTTTGCTGGGGTGAGATTACTTCCACTGAGGTCCCAAAAGTGGCAGAGAGGGAACTGCCTGCACCCAGGGCTTGTGCTGGGGGGGACAGGACAGCCTCAAGAGCGTGGGGGTCAGGTTTGGGAGCCAGGCCTGGGTGCTCGGGGAGGTGGAAGGGGTCTCAGCTCCCAGCAGGTCCTAGCGCAGTGTCTCCATCCCCTGTGACTGAATGCTGACACGGGGTGCAGCTCCTCTCCTCCCCCCAGCTCCTCTCCCTTGAGGTTCCCCAGCTGCTGGGGCCGCATTTCACCTCCTGCCCGTGGCCCCACCGGCCTCACAGTGTAACTGAAGAAGGCACTAGGCTGCAAATGGTGTGTGGGGATTAGCTGGGACACAATCGGTGCCTGTGAGAGTGATGGAGCACATGGCGAGCTGCGCTGGGCAGGGAGGCAGCATGGGGGCTGCCACAGGATCGCTGGAGAGCCCAAGTTCAGTGTGCTCTTCCCTCTTGGGAGATAATCCATAGCCTGATAAATCCACTGCCAGGGCCCTTCCCCCTCTGAAACTGGGGCTGTTTTACACTATCCGAGGCATTGCAGCAAATAGGCATTGTCAGGAGGAAATTAGTGTTTTCACGGATAAACAATTCCCTCCCATACCCGCACGTCTCAGACAGGAGGGATTTGTCTTGTCTTTGTGCTGCTCAGTCTCTGGCAAGATCTTCCAAGGCACTTTGTCTCCAAAGATAAAGTTCAGCACCATGCCATGAAATGGGGACTCAAGTGACAGCCCAGACCCTTAAACCTGTTGGACTTCTGCAGGTCACCAGTGGGAGGGGAGGACACAGGATGACACTGGGACCAGGGCACCTGATGTATGTCTGGCACAAAGTCAGCCCGGTGCTGTGGTGTCACCACCTATGCCACCTACAGCAAGACACTCCCGGTGACTGCTGGCCCCTCAAAGCAGGGCTCCAATCACCCATGTTTCCCCCATCACACCCCGTGGTGCCTGGAGCATGAAACCTTCACCTCCAGACATCCCCTTGCCCAGCAGCCTGCCCTCATCAGCACTTCCCTCTCCAAACTGAGATGGAAATAGTTGCCGCTCCGGACAGTTGATTATTTAAAGCTGTCGGGAGTGTTTAATTTAACCCTGGATTCATCATCCGCAGCTTGTTTCCATCCAGCAGACACCCATGCTCCCCCTCTCAGTGTAAACTCTGCCTCTGCCGAGCCCTTCACCTCCAGGCTGATTTGGGCAGAGGTTTACAGCAGGGGCTGTGGCCCCGCAGCAGGTTTCCCCCAGTGTCCCTGCGCTGACTGGCACAGCAAGGGATGCCGAGGTTGAGATTTTGGCTGTGCCAAAAGGAGATGGATGTGTCGAGTCCCTCACTGCTGCCTGGGCACGACCCTGGGGAGCCCTGAGTCTTGGTGAAACAATGGCATTCAGGGGAAGCCTTTCTCACTGCAAGTTATCCTCTGACAGCTTTTCTTCCCTTGTCCACTTCAAGCCCCTCCAGCACCATTCCTGACCCTGCAGCCAAGCTCTGCCAGGGCTCAGGGTTCCACCTGTGTGCGGCTGAGGCTCCTGCCACCATCAAACCTGCCTGTGGCAGGGGGGGGGGGTGGGGGGGCGGCATTAATGCCTACACGCCTGCCTCACCACCCCGGCCCATCTTCAGGCATGTGAAGCATCCCTAAAGCTCACCCCATGGCCTTGCACATGTGTGTGTCCTGAGGCAGGAGTAGTGGCCTGCCTGCCATCCACAGAATCCCAACCCACCCCGGAATCCCCTGGCGCTCTGGGTCATGAAAGGTTCCTCCAGGGCTGGCTTAGCCCAAACCTAAGCCTGTCACAGGCTCTGTTCCCTTTATAGAAAGTTGCAATTAGAGGCCAGTGGTTTCCCTATCCTCCAGCAGCCGAATGCACATGAGCAAAGAAGAAACATCCCTGTCAAATCCCAGGCACATCCTTGTGATGACCCCTGCGATAGCAGTGCTCGGGGCATGGCCATAGGTCTGCAGGATGGCTCTGGGAGACTCCACTGCAGATGGCTGAGCACAGGGAAGAGCTGAAAGTGCCAAAGCATCCCCAGCACAGGAAAGCCACTGGGAAGAAGTTAGGGAGGGAAATGAGGGCAGCACTGCCTGTCAGCAGGTCCCCAGTGCGGCTGATCGGGTTCCTATCTGGGAACACCCCCTTCTCCAGAATCAGACTAAAGAGACAGAAAATGACACAGCCTCCACCCCGAGGTCACATCTGGGTCCAGGGTGGTGCCAGATCTCCTGGGATGGGAGCAGCAGCAGGTTGTGCTGATCAGAGTGAAAGTAAGGCAGTAGTGAGGGCAGAGAACGGGCAGGTGAGCTATGCCAAGGGGCTGCTGTCTGCTCCCTCTCTGCCAGAGGGGGAGAAACCCCAACTCCACAAGCCCAAAACTTCCTCCTTAAGCAGAGTGAGTGCTCCTTCTTGTGGGAGGCAAAGACCAAGGCAGTCGGAGAGGCTTGGCTGCACCATCCCTCCTGCAGCCCTCCACCGGATGGCAGAAATCCCCTGCTCCCCGCGCCAAGAGCCTCTGGCCAGGAATGAGCCAAAAAGCTCATTTAAAATCTTTCAGCCATGCAACTGGAAGAACTTAATATGCATCAAGAGGGGGAGTTAGTCACAGCTGCCAGTTAGGGCCTGAGACGTTTATAAGCAGGGAAAAGCACCTAAATTGCCTGAATTAACTGCAGATCGCTGGCAGGCTGGCCCTGCTCCCCACGGGAGGTGTGGGAGCTGGCGGAGGAGGCTGTGAAACCCTGCACATCCCTGTGGGAGTGTGAATGTAAGAGAGTCCTTCCTGCCTGCAGCATCCCAGAGCCAGCAGATGCTGGTGGTCTCAGGGAAGCCTGCGGTGACCAGAGCTGCCGGCCAGAGTGATGTACCCTGTACACACAGAGCCACGGCTGATGCTGAAGGGATCATGGAAGTGGTATTTATGGACAGTGCTCCAAAACATTAACTCCCCCTTCAGTCAGAGGGACAAGATTTAACCTCAAGCTGAGATATGGTGAATTTAGGGATCCATCACCAGGATCTGGCCAAGCACTGGGAGCCAAGCAGATATTTAGCAGAGGATCCCCAAGCTCTGAGAGCCTGCTGGAGTGTGTACTACTCCCCAAGCACTCCTCACCACTTCCCTCACATCAGTCACCTCCAGGATGCTCACATGCTAACACTCCCGAGTACCATATGCCATGGGCATGCCGGCATCACACGGCACCTCCCCTGGGCAGGCGGTAACAGCTGGTCCTCTGGAGTCGCTGGACATGAAACGTGCTGGAGATCCTAGGCGGCAGCCAGCGCAGCCAGTGCACAGGTCTCCCAGCCACAGTACCCACATTGGTCCTGTGAGCACAGCTGCTCTGCCAGCTCCCGGAGGTGGAGGGTGCAGGGTGTCCCGCAGGGACCAGCACGGCTCACGGCAATGGAGATGTTAAGGAATGGTCCTCACCCTCCAGAACCATCGACGACTGCTGAGGCTGCGAGGACAGCCCAGCCAGAGAGACACCCGCCTCCTTGGCCCTGCTTTCCCTCCCAGCCCAGCCAGTTCGGGCTGCAGGAGTTCCTCAAGACAAGCCTTGTCTCCCTGAGCCCTGCGGGTGCTCTGCTCTGATAACCGCAGACAGGCGCTTGTGGTGGGTGCTGCAGGGTCCCAGGCTGTGCTTCACTCACCGTCCCAGGAGCACCCTCTGCAGCCAGGGGCCAGTGGGCTGAGGGTCCTGACCAGCACACAGCCCACCGCAGTGCAGCTTTCCCTCTTCTCTGCTTGCAGCTGGCAGTGGAGGTGGCACCTCAGCTCTGGACCATGGTGCTGTGAGGACGAGGTGTCCCCTTCCCACTGCTGAGCACCAGAATGCATCCTGCCCCTCGCCACAGCCTGCCCCTTGCTGCACTCCTGCTCTGCCTCCTCCTGCAGCAGCTGGGCAGCAGCAAGGCATGGAAGCAGCATGCTCCACGCCTTCGTCTCGCCTACAAAGGTAAGGGGGCTGCACAGATGGGTGTTCTTGGGGTCTGCATCCTGCTTGGGAGGGCTGGGAGAGTGTCCTGTAGGCAGAGAGCAAAGGAGGCAGCCAGGCAGGCAGTAGCCCCGTGGCTGCAGCTGCAGCATCTCCACATGTTGGGCCCTTGGGATGTTTCATGGATGCAGCTCCAAGCACAGCCCCTGAGGATGCTGCACTGGCGCTGTCAGCATCAGAGAAGCGGGCTGAGCAAGGAATGACCTGCCCCAGTCCAGCACAACATGGGGACCAGAAGGGATGTCTCCCTCTGCTCAGATTCATTCTGGGCATCTTACAGTGTATCCTGGGCTGGAGCTGACCTGGGCAGCCACAGGGGAATGTCCCCTGTCTTCATGCTCACAGTGCAATGGGGACACTGAGCACCAGGCAGTGCTGCCGACCCCTTCCCCTGTTTCCCACCAGCGCAGCCCTGCCTCAGCCCAGCCCTTCTGCCTTTACCCCTCCTTTTCTGCTGATCTTGTGCAGATCATTTCCCTGCTGCATTTTACCCTTCTCCCCTGCATCTCCTTGCCTGTTGAGATTATGAGCTCTTCAGGGGAGACACAGGCTGCTGAAGCAAAGGGTGGGCTGCTTTCAGTGATCTGAAGATGCAACGAGAGCAGACTGACAGCGCAGAACACAGCCCAGCAGAGAAGTGCAGGAAGGGAGCTTCTAGGGAAAGGGTCTCTGCAGGGGAATGACCTGAGCAGTTAGAGCAGAGCCATGCTAGCTTGGCAGCTGGTCACACTGCCTTGGACCTGCAGAACGGACTTGGCCAGTTTACCTGCTTTCAGTTTCTCTTGTGTGAAAAAGAGCAACTTGTTTTGGAGGACAGGCAGCTCAGCACATCCCCAGTGCTCAATCAGCCCTTCTCCAAGCTGTGAGGTGGCAGTGCAGCTTTTCCAAGGCCATTGCTATCAAAGCTCCCGTGCCATCCTCCTGGCCTGCTCCATCACCCTGAGAAGCTGCTCTCCAGCCAGTGAGGTGATAGATGCCCCCAGCTTGTGGCTGAAGAGGGCTGGACCTCCCAGGGATGCAGGATATCCCTGCGGGGAGATGACCCTGCTGATAGCCCAGTCTGGAAACACCAGGGTCTGCCTTTCCTTGGAGCCAGAGGAGGCAGAGCAGGGCTGCAGGAGCACAGAGGGACTGCCGACTTCAAAGCCCCACAGTGTGCTGGGGCCAGACATGCCAAAAGCCCTCAAGTCTTGGGCAGAGGCAGAAGAGGAAGCTCCCAGCATCAGGAGGGCTCAAGGACAACGTGAACAATGGCAGGGGATGTGACTCATGGACAGCATGGGGCAGGTTCAAGGACACAATGCCTTGAGAAGTTTAGGTTTAAAACCCCCTAAAGTAAATAAATAAATGAGGGCCATCTACAGGATCAGCCTTACCCTCAGATCCCAGCATGGGGGAGGCAGGCAGAGCCCTTGGTGGGGCGGGGGGAGAAGATGCAAGATGCTTGAGAGAAGGAAATGACAGCACCAAAGGCTGGGAGAGCAAAGGAAGGATGGGGCATGGGGCACAGGGCCAGGAACAACAGCAGCGGCTCCCACCCTGCCAGGGAGGTTTATAATAGCTCACCAGCAATCATAGCCTGCGAGAGGCAGCCTCCGGGTGCGCTGGGTCAGGCTGGGTCAGCCCTGACGCTGCCCGGAGCCGAGCCTCTCTTTTCTGAGCCCATAGAGCAGTGCAGCTGTGCAGCGAGCCCACAGCACTCCTCCCAGCTCCTCTTAATGCAGTGACCCAGGGCAGGCACAGCTAGGAGCTGGCAAACCCAGCCTCTGATCTGCAGCCAGCCCAGTCAGCCAGGACCCAGAAGCCATCCCCATGCAGCAACTGCTGGTGGGTCTCTGGTTATCGGCACCAAGCTGCATTGGCACATCTCTTATCAGCCAGCAGCAGTGAGGGGCTGAAGCCTGGTTTAGCACCAAGCTTCCCCTGGGCTTTGTGGATGTCCTCCGTGGTCTGCCCTGTGTGGCGGCTGGGGGAAGGGGAGAGGACAGCCCTGCAGTACAGCCGGGCTGTGACCCCAGGAAGCCCAGGGTCGCCCTGCATGGAGGATGCTGTAGCTGCGGGGGACAAGGCGGTTACAGTGGTCCTGACAATAAACAAAAACACCGTGGCCTTGGGAGATAGTGAAGACAAAGGAGAGGATGTTTCTCTGTGCTCACCCGTCAGTTTAGCCACCGTGCAGCTGCTGCAGAGACTGCCTGGTTCCCTGCCTCAAGGTTGGGGTTTGGATCAAATGCCTTGTGCATATAGCACTCAACATCCCCTTGGAAAGAGAGCAGAACTGCCATAGGGTCAGGCTCAGACCTTCATGGTCATTAACCCTGTCAGAGGGCTCATGGTGCCAGTGCAGGGCAGCGACTCCTCCCTGGATCCTCCCATGGGCTATCACAGGAGCAGGGAGGGCTCCTCCACCATCCTGCCTGACCTTTTCCTCAGACAGTGATGAGGCAGATCTACTTAATTGCACCCATCGACCTTCCCTCCCACCCCAACTCATCTTCCCAGTGCCTTGCCCGACATTTCCCCCTGGAAAGGGCAGGTGCCAGCAGTGCTGGCAGACACAGGAAGGTGGGTCATGCACAGCAGCCCGCTGGGGACCCAGCAGTGACGATGGCCCACAGGCAGGGACAGGAATTCATCTGTTAATCCCATTCAGCTGGTGGGAAATGGCTTGGAAATGTGCTCATCTTTGCCCATGGCACCCAGAGGAGAGCCCTGGGGCACCCAAGGGTCAGGGGGATGAAGTGGGGCGGTGCACAACAGTTGTGGGAACAAGAGGAGGGCCAGGAGCTCCCTGAGGCAGCCAGGAGCAGCTCCTGGCAGAGTAGGGTTTGTGTCCCACAGTAACTGGAGCCTGACCCTGGAGGAAGGGGAGAAGGAAGCGCCAGCTGGGAGCATCCCTGCCTGCTGCCTGCAGCCCAGCAGGTCCTTCCCCCGCAGGGAGCAGCAGACGTCAGTGGCGTTTCCAGCCCGCAGGCACCGGCCCCACTTCCCCTCTGCCCTGGAAACGGGGTGGAAGGAAGAGAGGAGCAACCTCCCGGGTCAGCCGGTTCCCTTCGGATGGAGCCGTGCCCGTGCCCACGTACACCCCACCTGCACCCGGCGCTGCATGTCCACCCATGGCCCATCGCCCGGCCAGCACCGCTCCCCTTGACAGCTTCCCCCCTCAGTTCTGACACACTGCTCCAATCCACATGATCTCGGGTCATTTCTCAGCCTGGGTCTTACAGATCACACCGGGGTTTCCAGCTGTGCTCCACCTCCCATCCAGCAGCAGCCCA